ACCGTGGATTAGCTGCGACTCTTGTTTCATCCTCTTAATTCCTCGATCAGTTGAAGATAAATCCTTTAATCGACTAATTACTATTATTAGTTTTGTATAAGCTATTCCTCATGGACTGTCCTCAGCAGACTGTGGAGTTCAACAGGGGGGCTGCTTTCGCCTTTGCTATTGTTCGTAGCTTAGGTTTTCTAGCTCCAATCGTACGAACGTTTTCTGACGTTCTGCATTGAAGATGGCCAGTGAGACACAGGCGGAAACTTCAGTACTGGTCAGTCATCCGATTGACCAGTTTGTTTGCGTTGTGTATAAACAACCCGTGTTTTATGTTGTTTTCATTGTTCGCACCTCTTCGAACTTTGAAACAGTGCAGAGTTTGGCAAAAGCTATGGTATCATTCTCGACAAAGGTCGCAGTTCCAAACATCCCACATGAGTACGCAGTGGACTCCTTCGCCTGACTCCTTCTCTATGCAGTACAACTGCAAAGGCCGGCCTCTTCCTTAGCACTGAGAAGACAACAATTTATGACGAATTCAACTGGCCTCCCTGATCTACAAGTGCAGTCGGGACATGAAGCACTTCAGGAGGTTGACCAAGTTAAATACGTCTACTCAATCATCTCCAACGATGGCTCCATCTTTGACATGATTAACTGGTTTTGGTGCTCACATTCGTCTGTCTCGTTCGATTTATCGCTATAATCTTCCATCTCTCTTTTCTATCTCATCGTACCACCTGAGCCGATATCTTGCAACTGGGCGCTTGTAGCCGTGTGGATACCAGTCCATTACTACTGAAGTCCATCGATCATTTGTCAGTCATGCCATGTGACCTACCCGTCGTCGTTTTCTTTCTTACGTACAACCTCCTGCAGTTCATGCGTCTGTTTATTTCTTCATTTGAATACCAAGGAGCCGTGGCCTGCTTAAGTGGTCCCCTTAGGCTACTAGAAGCAAGGGGCCGTGCAATAATGCGTTATTTCTTGATGTTAGATTTTCATGTCTTACACCACATCAGTATTAGTGTAAAGCATGAAATGAATTTTTCTTTCTTTACACTGTACATTTCCGCCGTCTCAGTCCGGTATTGATATATTTTAAGTTTCATTTTGTAGCTTGTGTGTATTTAGTCTAGAATTTGGATTCAATCTTGTTATATGCCTTGCTGTTCCAACACACGGAAGACTGCTTAATGCTCTACAATGTCAAATGCCTTTCCATAGTTGGTGGAGATCTTGTCGATGGCTAATCTGTGCTTATTACACTTTTCGAGCAGCTGATTCAATACTTGAATATAGGCCCCTGTCTAGAAACTTCACCGAAACCAAGCCTGGTCGGTCGACTGTTCCTCGTCCAATTTCTTGCTTAACGATTTGATAGAACTTTCGTGGGCAACTTATACGGATGGGATGAGAAGCATTATTATTACAGTTATATATGTATATCACTTGGGTTTCTAAGGATGAAATATACTGTGAAACGTGATTAAGCCTTTTTAAATTCATACTTAAATTTTTGCTTTCTGGCGCAAATTTCGGTGAGTAAGAAAAAAGTCATGAGTAGAGGAATGGCATGTCGTCATTTACACCAAAGAACAACAGAAAATCGATATAAATATGATTCTCAGCAACTGAGTTGCACATATATGCTAATTTATATTGCTTTTACACTAACCGATGTAATAAATAAGAATATTTACTGGCAAATGTTGCATGTTCAGAACCTGATGGTCATCAGTAACCGCAATAGTCATAAAATACCATCACACTTACTAATACGCATTTAGTGAAAGATTTTCTTGCATGTTCACC